CGCGCCACGTTTCTATGCGCGCGTTGNCGGTCGATGTTTTCGACGTCGATGGCCGAGCGGATCAAATGGGACGCCCGCGGTACATAGACGAACGATTCCCGACGCTCCGTGCGCTCGAACACGGTCGAAAAGGGTGCGGGGGACGCCGAAAACCCTCTTCCGACCCCTTGGGACGCCCCGCGCGCGATGCGGCGCAATCCTCGGGAGTGACATCCCGCGGGGAATGTGTCCGCAACAGGGTTCCGGTCCTCGCAGCCGCGGGGATCGTTGCGCAACTCTGCATCTGCGTCGAGCTACGGGCTGGAGAAGACGAGAATTTCGTCCATCGACGCTGCAAAAGGGCTGCTCGCAGCCTGATTGTTTGAGTTGCTTTTTCGAGGAATCGATCCAGTTGCTTTTTTTAGTTTTTAGCCCGGCGGGGGTTTCGAGTACTCATCAGTTGGTGGGTCCATGGGGGGCACATCCTGACTTCCAGCCGTCTCTGGGGCGCCATTACGGCGCCATGCAGTCCCGGGCGACCCACCACCGAGGCGCCTTGGACACTGCGAGTGATAGAGACCGAATTAAACCCTCCGCGCGGACGCCATGGCGCGACCGCGTGCAGCCCCTGGAGTCCGCGAGGGCCACAGAGCAGCTCCAGCACGCCGCCGTAGTGCGCGTTGAAGGAGTTAGCGGTGCCGGACCATGGCCCAACATAGTGACCATCGCCTCGAGGCAAATTGGTTGAGTTGCACCGCCCTGCGCCGGAGCCGTGCGGTGCCGAGCGAGTGCTGCGAATCGCTCCTCGAGAAGTCGTGCGTCGGCGGTCCGAAGATCGCGTCGCCAAGGCGTCAAACTCTCGTCCAAGCCGGAGACATATATGGCCCTGGGATTGTGATGAAGTCTCAATGATTGTGAGGCCGTGGAGTCCACCATTGCCGCCCCGGAGACGGTCGTCCGACGGCGCTGCGTTTCGCGTGCCGTCGCGCGATCTCGGCATCGGGGGTACGACATGCCGCTTCGGACAGGCCGTAGGCATAGTATATCGACCGATGAGCCGAAATTGGTTGAGTTGCACCACCCTCAGCGGACGCGCCCGCCGATTTTCGTGCTCGAATGCGGCGTCGAAACGGACGCGCCGATTTTCGCGTTCGCCCAACCTCCGACGCCGACCCCGACGGCCAGCGACCCGCTCGAAGGTGTCCGCCGGCCGCTCGCGGCGCCACTCGGCTGCGGGCGATGTCTCTGCCGAGCGCGCGTGCCCCCTTGGCAGCCCTTCCCCATGCTCTCTCTGTCTCGCAGCGCCACCTCGGGAATCATCCGTAGCGGCGTGCTCACGCGCCGACTGCTCGGCATAAGGCTGTGCTAGCCGCAGCCCTCAAACTTAAAACGCGCACTCGCTCTCGACTTTCAAATCCGGCCTCGTGCGCGCGTTCCGCGCGTCGACCCGCGAGCAGCATCGTAGCACTAAACATGCCGAAGGGAACGAACTCGCAGGGCAACCACTACACGACGCCGGGCGGCACAAATTCGTCGCAAGGTACGTCCTACCATTATTCCAACACCAACGGCTCCTACTACTACGCCAACGACAACGGTTCGACGTACTACTCGTCCCCCTCGGGCCAGGGCACGTACACGCCGCCACCGAAGTGAGCCCCTAGGGCCGCCACCCCCGCCCCCTTCGTGCCGCGCGTCCGCGCGCGCGGGTCCGCGCGCTCTCAGGCTCCGCGGAGCCGCCCGCGGTCGAGCCTAAGTGCACCCCGCGTGGTCGTTTAATCGCATACGAGCTCCTGGGTGGACATGACGGACGCGTGGCACCACTGGCGCTTCGCCGGGCCCGTGTCGTTGAAGACGAAGCAGGGCGCGGCCGCGCGCTGGAAGACGTCGCGGACGACCGGGTCGAGGGCCTCGAGGGCCCGGCGCGCCTTGGCGTAGACGTGGGCCGTGATGGCCTCGTGCGCGCCGTGCGACTTGCCCGCGCGGAACTTGGACGACTCCTCGACGTGCTTCGCGTCCGTCGGGTGGTCCTTGCCTGGGGCCGCGCGCGTCCGTCGCGACGGGGGCGAGGGCGCGCGCGGGGGGGCGCCGGGGGGACGCGCGGGTCGTCGAGTTGAGCCCCCGCTCCTTGAGCCGCGCGAAGTCGTTCGCTGCGATCGCGGCCTTCATGTGGCGGCAGCGGAGCCGCCAGTTGAGGAAGCAGTTGGCGATGAGGTCGAGGACGTGGAGCGGGCCTGCGGTCCGGGGGGGGGGGGGGAGGGGTCGCGTGGGCCCGGCGGCGGCGCGGGGCCCGCCCGCGGGCGGCGCGCCGCGGCGCGCAGGCGCTCAGGCCCTCGTAGGTGACGACGACGGCGCGGTCCGGCGCGGCGAGCGCCGCGGGGACCCACGCGTTCAGGAAGGCGACGTGCGTCGCAATGGAGCCCGTCGTCCACTCGACGAAGGCCTTGAGCTGCACGTGGCGCGGGATCGCCTTGCTCCCCTTGGCGCGGTAGACGCGCTCGAAGTACGAGCTCACCAATACGTCGAGGGGGTCGCGCACGAGGAGGCCCGTCTTGCTGGGGAAGAGCGCCCCGGGCCCTTGGGGCGGCGGCCGCGCCCCTCCCGCGGCGCGGGCGCGGCGGGGGGGGGGGCGCGCCGGCGCCGCGCGGCGTCGGCCTCGCGGAACGCGGCCGCGAGCGCGTCCGGCGACATGAGGAACGGGTGGTCGATGACGCCCATGGTGTGCGACCGCAGGACCGTGAAATTCCGCCCGCCCTTGAGCCGCGCCGCCTCGGTGAGCAGGCCGAAGAGCCACGTGCGGCCGCTCTTGGGGAACTCGAGGATGATCGCGTCGGCCGCGGCGCCGGCCCGGCCGCCCGTCGCGTTGGCCCGGTCCGTGCCGTTGTCGCGCCGCTCCCAGGAGCGGTGCGAGTCGCGCCGGAGCCGGTTCTCCGCGTCGAGCTCGGCCTTGGCCGCCCGCGCCGCCTCGAGGGCCGCGCGCTCCGCCTCGGTGCCGCGGCCGAGGGGCGCGGATCGGTACTGGCCGCCCTTGACGAAGCCGTGCGCCGCGATGCGCCCGATCTTCGCCGACGCGGCGGCGACGCAGCAGAGGGCGAGCCGCGCGGCTCTCATCGCGGCGAGGGCCGCCGCGCCGCGTCCCGGGGCAGCCTCGCCATCATTGCGCGCTTCGGGGTTGCAGGAACCTTCAAAGTGACGATGCGGCCTCAAATGTTCAAAGTTTGATGAACGACGTGACCGTGACGACGAAGTAGGCCTCGAAGTCCGCGACCGCGGCCGCGCGCCGCGGCCCCGGCGCGGGGCTCGGCAGTGTGAAAAACAAACATTCTAAACGAATTGTCCCACGTCCGTTGGGCGTCCGTTGGACGTCCGTTGTGACCCCCGCGCGCGCGGTGGACGGAGGACCTCTATGAGGACCTCCCGCCGGGCGACCGCAAAACAATAATTAATATTTCTATGGCCGCGGCTAGCCCTATGGTTGTTTTTCACACTGGGGCTCGGCCGCCCGCCGGCACGTTAGCGGGGTCGCCCCCCCCCCCCCGCCGCGCCCCCCCGGCCGCGTCGCGCGGTCGCGGCTACCGCGCGGGCGTCGGCGCGTCGCGGGCCTCGACCCCGGGCCCCGGCGTCGCGTCGCCGGGGGCCGCGGCCGCGTCCGCGTCGCCCTCGTAGTGGCGCTTCTGCGTCATTGGCCGCAGGACCTTGAAGGAGCAGCAGAGGTCGGCGCCGATGCACATCATGCCCCCCGCGTTGTCGAACTCGCCGCAGTAGTTGGGCGCGGAGAATATCGTCACGAGGCCGCGCGCGGCCTGGAACTCGTAGCCGTCCTCGACGACCTGGTGGGCCCGGCAGACGACGTCGAGATCGTGCTGCTTGAGGAAGTCGCGGATGACCTCGTGGCCGAAGGTGTAGGACACGCCGCGCGTGTTGTAGCCCCAGCCCATGATCATCGGGTCCGGGTCGGACCAGAGCAGGTCGCAGAGCAGGCCGTCCTCGGGCACCTCCGTGGGCCGCTCGATGCGCGCGATCTGCTCCAGGGACGTGAGCTCCGGGCTCAGGCCGCCGTGCATGGCGATGATCTTGTCCGCGACGACGGCCGCGACGGGCATGCAGTTGAAGCAGTCGCCGAAGACGCGCCAGAGCTTGACCGTGTAGCGGCGCTTGCACTCGTCGAAGAAGCCGTAGATGCGGTTCAGCGCGCTGCACTCGTGGTTGCCCCGGAGGAGGAAGAACGTCTTCGGGTACTTGATCTTGAAGCAGAGCAGGAGCCCGATCGTCTCGATGCTCTGCTTCGCGCGGTCGACGTAGTCGCCGAGGAAGACGTAGTTCGACGCCGGCGGGAAGCCGCCCATCTCGAAGAGGCGCAGCAGGTCGTGGTACTGGCCGTGCGTGTCGCCGCAGATGTTGATCGGCGCGTTGAGCTCGAGGAGCATGGGCTGCTCGAGGAAGACCGCGCGCGCCGTCCGCGCGATCCACATGAGCTCGTCCTCGGCGAGGTTCACCTCCGTGCCCGGCTTGTCGTCCTTGACGCCCACGAGCCGGGCGATGCACGAGTCGAGCTTCGCGCGGCCCTCGGCGCCGACGGCGACCATGGCGCGGCGGCCGGGCCCAGGAACGCGGGGTCGCGCGCGCCCCGGGGGGCGGGGGGCCGCGGCGGGTGCCGCGCCGCGGACGGCCCCTGGTCGACGCTCGAGGGCTGCGGGGGGCTGGGCTGCCGTGCGGCGTCGCGATGGAGGTACAAGCAATAATTGCCGAGGCCAACGTTGACCAAGCTCGAGCTCATGTGCACAGGCCTACGACCTCTCTATTGTATGTCCGTTGCACTGCTCTTTTCCGATG